TTAAAGGCGCTGGCCTCTTCCACCAGAGCCCCTCCCTTGGACAAACATTATTGCCTTTGTTTGACTGTTGAGGGTTTTTTTCCCTTTCGCATGGCTAAGGATCACTGTTGAGGGTAGGGGCGAGGGTTTAGGGTGAGGGTTTCGGCCATAAGCCACAACCTTAAACGAGTTTAGGTTTCCGCCCTAAAGCGTAAAGCACCTAAGCCCAGGAACTTAAAGTCTAAAACGAAGCCTTTGTTGGGTGGCCAGCCCGAAACCTGCCAAATTTACTTGGGAGGGAGGGGTCAGGCCACCAACTGACCTACCTTGCTGGGGGGGGAGGGTTAACCAAGAGTTCCCACTATTATGCTAAACTACAATATTTTGTGCTATGCTAGAATGTGTTGGATTTTGGTAGGTTGTTTCATAGTGCGCTGTGTTATAGCATGATACTATGCAATATGATGCGACATGATGCTATGTTACGCTATTTGGGCATGTAGTATATTTAGTGTACAGTATGAAGCATATATCATATCGTAGACCGTATATAATTAGTATGGAGTAGAGAGAAACCAGGATCTAGTGTCGCGCCGGCGCGTATCGTACAGTATCGTATAACAGGCAATCGTAAATGTGTATAGTATCTAGTACATAAAACTTAGTGACTATAATTGATACTCAGTCGTAACAGTAACAGTAACACTGACTAATTGTAACAGTCATGATGACGGTGATGGTAATGGTACAGTATGATATATTCTATAATATAGTGTCGTAAGTCAGTGCAATATTGAAATACATGGGTTGGGCTCCGGCCTATTGCGACTCTCAGGACTAAGACTGGACAACTTGAGGTCCGCATTTGAAACCTTCCGGCTTCTGCTCATCTGGGGATGCACGGATAAGAATGTGGCTCGTAGACTCTGGTTCTCATGTTGGAAGCAGACATAGTCACTAGTATGTGCACTGTATGTGGCTTTAGTGGCTCCATGAGAAGGAAAACTTTTCGATATTGCCGAGCCCGGACCGATGTCACAAACAGATCACCCTCTGATGGATAATGCTTGCACTCACAGGTCTCCCAGCCGGAAAACATCGGCATTAATATCAGGAAACCACGCAGTTCTCGACAGATGCTGGCAAAAAGACCAAGCCGAATCTCAGTCCCCTCCAGGTAAAGATGCCGTAATTTGTGGTCGGAACAACGCACACCCTGGGCCTTGGTTCCTATGAGTATTCACTGCAGGTGACCACCCCAAAACACATGACTCACATCTCGCTAACAACTCTACCCGAAACAGACCGCCCGAGCCTCTTCGAAAACAACTCTGAAAACCATCTTCAAGAGCTCCACCTGAAATCGGAGTGGCAAGGACTTCATGGACACACGCACAAGCAAGCCCGCATCTCGAGCTGAAAGGCCCAGTGTTGACTGGTGCGCTGGGTTCTTGGATTGGTGGGTTCGAAGATGTACAGCCCCGAGAATGGCTCCATCAACAAGGTATGGAAACCACATGCCGATACCATGGACACAGGGCTTCAGAACTTTTCTTTGTTGGGCTCTCTAGTTTAATCAACCGCTACTCCCTGTCTCCCGCGTCTGGACCATCTTGTGAACATAAGTTCAACCAGGCCAAGACCATACAAACAGGAACGACAAGCAGCCTGCGACGAAAAGTTCAAGATCGCACCCGCGTCGGATATGCTGCAGTCGACCATGCCACGGAGATCGGCGACGCTCATCGCCTCGCTGAGAAGCAGCGAGACCGAATGAGCCCGAGCTGTTCTTCATTTCTTCATGTCATACGATACCGAGATGGCCGGCTGTAAATGATAATCCAGCCCTCCCTCTCTCTCTCTCTCTCTNNCAGGGGATCCCGTCAGACGCAACGCCTCCCTACACTAATCATTCCCAGGCTCCTCCAAAGGGGGGGGGGGGCCAACGAGATGTTTCGAATTTCCACTGGGATCTACAGGGCCTAGTCATGATTCACATGTTATTTCTCAAGCCCAGATTATGCCCACTGGGGCCACCAAATTTCGGGTGATGCCGGAACACAGACTTTCCTCGTGAGGGGGTTGCATGCTGCAGCACAGCAACTTGGCTTGGGCGCTTGCTTCTGGATCTGTATAGGAAGATATGTGCAGGCTGTATTGGATCAGGCTTGGGCTAATGCTGCAGAGATTACATTAAAAAAACAAGATAACGAGAGGTGAGGAGACCTGGCTCGTATCCTGGTGCGCAAGAGATATAAGCCGATTCTTAGAAAGCATAGACATCACGCAGTAGGAACGACAAAGGTTCAGTAGCTATAGGGAAATAGGAAATATCTGAGAGTAGGAGTTTAGGCCAAGCATCGTAAAGCTGCAGCTCCCACCAGCTAGCAGCATTGACCTAGCAGCTGTAAGAACTGTACAGGCTTTAGGGCTTGGGCTTCGCCTTAAACTTGAGCCCTACAGTAAATCGCGGGAACCAAAACCCCAGACCCAGCAACAGAGTTGACGGGAGGTGTCAACGGGAGCACCGGAAACGAAGCATGGGAATCAGAACAACAGGACGAATTCCAACTGCTCAAGGCAAAGCCTGAGCCATCATGACATGACATGCAGCATGCGTGGGCCTGAACAGCGTCACGGAGTGCTACCGCACCAGCGTCCGACCTGCAACCCACTTTCCCGCGAAACAGAAGGCTCTTCGTGTTGCTCCACTTCGAGTCTGTGGTATGATACCATGTAGAGATGTCTTCACGGACTGTGAATAGCATCTGCGACAATCCAAAGATGCTGGTTGCATGATGGGCCCATATAGTGCCGCTCACTTCACTACCCAGTCCTGTTCTTGAAGTCCACATCGTAAGCGTAGAGCTTCGCCGTAGTACCACCTCGTCCAATCTCGCGAGGCAGCTCCTGGATTCTCATCTTCGGAGCGTGGCCCCCCCAGAAACTTGAAAAGATCACTTAAAACCCTAAGACTCCTCCAGACCACGGCTGCCTGCCACATGAACCTCAGCCCTCAAAAGCACACAGAACCCCAAGATCTTCGTCCCAAGCGAGATGTCGCTACAACAGCCCTGCGTCCTGAGTCTCTTCTTCCCACACCCCCTTGCTAAGCCGTATGTAATCGCACCCTGAACCCTGAAGCATCCTAAACTCAACTCCTTCGGCTGGCCAAAGATGGCACTCTTCGGAGAGGCCGGCCCGAAGCGCGGAACCCAAATCTGCAGCGGGAGGGGGTCGGAGTCGGGGGGGTCCTACAAACATAGAGAAGGATCTTGTTGGCTGTGTTTACAGCCCAAAGGGTCCTAGGTACTGTTATGGGGGATACTTTCCCAAATCATAATAGCAATTCCTAGTATAGAAACCCTACATTCTACTATATAGGTACTTTGGGCCCTTTGGGCAGGGCTGTCCAGTTTGTAGGGCTTTATAGGGTTTAGGATGTCAGAATTATTAATGTTACTGCTTGCTTGTGCTCTTTAAGCGCTGGCCCTTGTGCCCGTCGGGTTTAGCACACGTTCTAGGGCTTTTTGGCCCCAGTAAACCACATTGAAGAATATTTTAGGAATATATGTAGCATGGGAGTAGCCTGGTCTCGCAGCGATGTTTAGTGGGGCTGGTCGTGACACTGCTGGACAAAACTCCGCAGCATCCGGACAATACCAGGAAGCATCTAAGGTCCCGTAGTGCAGGGTACCGACTACAATGATGCAGAATAGTTGTTGTCCATTCAAAGAGTTACACCCTCCCCAGACAGGTTCATAGGGATTTGTGTAGTAGTAGCCTCAACCCCTAAACCCTAAACCCGGGCCTTTTACGGGTGTAAAGAGTTTTGATACCAATCCCAATATACTAGGCAGCTCGGGGAGGAGGGCGATGCCAGTCAGCCCGAGGCTCAAAGATACGTCCGGAGTCGATTTAGGGTTTAAGACTGGGCCTGGGCTTATGGTAAGCCCGAGAGTAGGCAATCAAAGAGCCGAAGCAGTGTAGTGTGGCCTTGAAGTCCTAAACGCCACACCCCAGACTGCCTTATGTGAGAATGAGAGCCAGAATGAAACAGTGAGCTCTGAGCACCGGCAAGTGGCCTCCAAGGGCCTTGGCGAATCCTCGATGGCAAAGTTTGCCCATCCTGCGCGGGGAAGTTGCCGGACAAAGAAACATGGCGAACAAGATGGATTGAATAGTGACGGGCACTTCAGTTCTCCTACCAGGTGTCCAAAATGTACTGGCAATCATGCAGGAAGCATATCAAGGCCTGGGTGTCCGTTGAACTGGCGACCAGCATCGCCCAACTTACCTCAAATCCAAAGGCCGACCGAGGCTCAGGACTTGGAGTTCAGGTCTTAGAATTTTTTAGAGATAGGTACCGAAGCTCTGCAAACTAACCATGCACACACAAGCCTGAGACGCGCCTGCAGTCTGTGAGAAAACTTCTCCTTGAAAATCGTGCAAGTAGGTACGGCCTGCCCCAGTTCACCAGCTTTGCTACTAAGACAAGGCTTAGCCCTTATAAACCTATCCTTACTTACGGGTTCATGGGGTTTGGTAGCTATAGGCTTATTATTGTGTCATGTTTTTGGCTTAAACTCATTATGAGTTTTATTCTGATTACAGCTGCCATCATTATTCCTAGGATAACTATACTTTGGAGTTACTTATAACTCAACTTAGCGTACTCATAACCTTCCTTACAAATGACAAATTTAATTAAATTAAGTCGCAGGATCCCTTAAGTACGCCATGCATGCTGGAGATGCGATAGGCCACGACTTGGTACCCATTCCTCTCCATAAACGTCGGTGGCACGAGCCCGTCAGGGAGGCACTGATACCTGCCGCAGGGTTTAGGGTTTAGGGGGGTCTCTCTCCGGCCCGCGAATTCCAAGTCGCGGCTGCTGGTTCCATATGCACATCAGCACGAGACTCTTGAAAGACAACGCAACTAACCGACAAGAGTGTGAGCAGAAAACCCTAGAGATGCAACAATCTTGACCTGTGACCCAGAAAGGGATGAAGGCCAAGGGCAGGGCTATGGCCACCTAATTTGCCGGCCGGGCCTCAACCGATGAAGTCCTTAAGAAACGGCTCAGGATATCGAGCTTTCAATGCATAAGAATTATGGCGGTTGTTTGGCGCAATGCCCCAAGATTGACTCAAACCATCCTGAACCTGATGTGTAAGTGTGCGACATGTGGGCAGTATAGCGAGTATCCGACACTACTATATGTTGGAGTCCACACACTCAAATACATGAAAGCACTACATTTTCGGAAACGCTCATTGAAGGTACGGTCCTCCAGCACAGCCAGCCCTTGTGGAGATGCTTGGTTCCGGAATACAGCTGGCTTCGGGAGTCGGTGGTTGTGGTTGGGGCTCGTGTGCCAGCTCAAATCCACAAGAGATGCGGTGAATGACACACTGCGCCGCAGGGTTCAGTGCCGTGTCCTTACACGGAAAAACCAACAGGGCACACGCTTCTGTCGCCTCGCAGGCGACAGGAAGTGACACGGCTGAAAATTCAAAACCCAAAACTGCCCCTCATTTGGGGCCTCTCGGTGAAACATGCGCGCATATTAGCGTATGCTCTTAGATCTCCACATAGTCCAGCGCGAGCGACACCACGGTCGCACATTCCGCACGGTCTCCTTCCAGGCCCTGGAGAAGAAAGTCCGGAAGCGCTTGACCTCTGGCAAAGTCTCGAGCACTCCAGTTCCGAGCGTTCTTCAAGTCAAGGCATGCTCCAGCAGCAATCAAGGCCGCAGCACCCTCATGCTGCGCTGTCGACAAAGCTGCCATAAGTGGTGTCATGCCTGAGATATGGTAACACAAAGAAGAGAGAATCGTGCTGCGCCCAAGCCTGTGCTGCAGCGTCTTGGCCGCAACAATCAGGCCGAATGGCGACCAACGGCTCGAGACGGTGTACTGATGGTTCACATCTGCTCTTAACTCTACGAGTCTCTCGACCATCTCGGCTGAGCCGCCCCCACCGACCATGGCAAAAAAGAGCGCTCGGGAAACGACAAGCGGTTCCTGGCTTGTGTGTAACGAAAGTTCTGCTAAGGCTTGAAGGCTTCCATACGTAGCCACACCTCGCAATGCAGAGGCTTCAAGAAAATCTTCCATCAGCGGGTCAATGCCTGCTGAACAGAGCAGACGAATGCCTTCGGCGTTGTCTGAGATGCTCGCAAAATTCAGAGGGGTCGTAAAGCCTCCCTGGAAGTTGGCACGCGCCGCAATCAACCGGCGTGCGGCGTCGTTGTGCTTGAAAAGCAAGGCAAGGTCGAGGGGCGATGTCCATGGCGGACATCCCAGTTTCGGCTGCTCCCTGGCTGTACGCTTGTTCGCATTGGCACCCTGCCGCAACAAGCCGTCGATGATGTTTGCATCTCCGTTTAATGCCGCATAGTGCAGAGGGGTCCATCCGGCTCGGTCAATGTCACGGACCGCTGCAAAGCCGTTCTGGAATAGAAACTTGGCCACGTCGTCTGTGTTGCCCTTGTTACACTCAAAACCAGGAATGATGTCGGCCACTGGCTCGATGTTCAAGCCTCTGAAGTAAAATTCTTGGAGATTCAGATGCCGGCGGTACGCAGCAAAGTCTTTAGAACTGAGACAGAACATCAGCTTTCGTACCACCGCCTGCCGCAGGATAGGTGCCAACTTCATGCGGTCCTCTTCCTTGCTGAACTCACCTTCGCCGACTGAGCCGCTGACGAACGACAGCACCGAACCGACCACTTCCAGAGA